TGAGCTAGAAAGTCAGTATTTTAAATTTTTATACTGATAGGATTTTCCTATTTGTTGAACTTTTTAAATTGGTGTCTTCTCTTCATGTGATACATCAAAATTCTTAGGGCACAGTGAGACATAAAATAAAGTAGGTAAGTTCAAGTAGTGCTTTCAAAGATGTGATAGTTTTAAAACACACCAATATTTAAGTCTATTTTTGTGTGTCTTATTCTGTTGAGTATATAAAAAATATCCTGCGGTTAGTACAACAGAAATCAGTATCAAATGAAGGAGAATTGTGTTATGTGGTAGAGGGATTTCCAAAAATGACTTGTACTTTGGGTTAAATATGTTTATTTAAAAAAAACTTTCTCCATAGACGTTTTAGATGTCTATTATCGATAGAAACTTGTGGTTCTTGATACTCCTGTCTACATTTCATGAAGTAGTTCACACATATCTTTTCAAGTGGAATGGGTAATGGCCAGTGTATTTGTTAAAAACTATATATATCACGTGTTTATGTATGTATGAATGTATATTCTATACACACGTGTATTCTATTATCTTTCTGAGGCAATGTTAATGAATTACCATATGCACAGGAAAAAGAATAACTGTTGATCCATAAATCTGCATTTGTGTTTTAGTATGTGTATATAAAAAATTATTTACCCAGTAATGTTATTTGACATTAAATTGCAACAAATAAAATTTATTGGTGCTAGTGGTTTGCATGATAAACACAAGTTTTTTGTGTATTTATGACCAGCACTTGTATTAGGTGAAGAGATAGTTACTCCTGCGGTTCAAGAAGGGGGAAAATAAAAGACTTGGCTGTTTCATAAAAAGCATAAAACATTAATACACATAGTAGATTCTTTTATTCTGGAATTGTGACTGAAGGACAGTCATGGGGATTAAGAACAATGCTTTAAAAACAAAAATCTTGTTTCCCTTCAGTTAAATCATTTCCTTCACTGTTTCCTATCTCATCTTTTTTGTTGTTTTTTGTTTGTTTTTTAACAGTAAATCCCAGAACAAAGGTTTAATAATCTTCTTTTCCATCGACTGACTGCTTTTTTGGATGGTAGGCATTCTCTGGTGCATTGGTTCAGAAGACTTCACCAGGGAAGCCCATGCTTCCCTTTCAATATGATCATGATATTTTTCATCTTGGCATAATATGGCTGCTGTGTCCTCATCCTTCAATGAAAAAGTCTGTCATTTCCACCACAAAGACCAAAGGGAAAACATTTTCAATTAAGTTTCAACTATTTTGTTAAAATTCGCTTGTCAAGTACTCTGAAAATATCAACTATTGTTCTGTTTTTTTAGCACATAAATGTACAAATTCTCATCTGAACCTTAAAAAAAAGACATAATTCTTAATTTCTATGCACAAAATAATATAAAAAATATATAAAACATAAAAAAATTATCAAAACTATACGGAAAATTCAAAATTGACCAATCATCTTGGGAGATTTTAACACACTTCTCTTACAAACTGGCGAATTAAAAACTGATGAATTAAACAGACTGGTATGTAAAAGACATGAATCAATTAACAAAACACATTCTTTTCTTACACACATGGGCCATTTCACTAAAACCAACACATACCAGATCATAAAGCAAATATCAATGAATTTCAAACTCATGTAGTCACATCACAACTTAGAAGTTAGTGGCATAATATTTTTAAGGTCTGAAATTTAAAAGCACATTTCTATATGATTCATAGGTCATGAATAAATCATAAACTTTAAAATACTTAGAGCTGAATAATTTGTGGAATGCAGCTGAAATGGTACTTCAAGGTAAATTTTTAGCCTTCTCAAATTAAACATTTAACAACTTTAAGAAATTAGGGAAAGACTTAAGAATAAATCCAAAGAGAATAAAAGATTGGAAATTGTAAAATTAAGAGCAAAAACTAAGGAAATAAGTAAAGACTATAATCACTATAACTGAATTCAGCAAGAGTTATTGAGACAAAAAGGCACAAAGAAAACAATATGAAAAATGATAAAAGCGCACATTAAACAGAGATTTTAAAAAAGAACATGGATTGGTATGCTAACTTCTGCTTTAAGCCAAACTAGAGTAATAGGGAGCAGGACAAAAACAAGAAACAATAGTTTCCAGACATTAGACATCAGATAATGAGGAACCATGATCTGCTAAACAGAGGAAGCAAATTAGCTGGGCCCTATGACTGCTCTGTCTCTTACTGCCTAGAGTTTCACAATTGCCGGGCAAGGAAGGGAAATCCAGGTATAGCTACGAAGTCTCTAAGTTGGGGAGAAAGAGTTAGGAAGCCACGGAGGACAAAACTAGAGTTCACAAGGTAGAGTACCAAATGTGACAAAACTACAGATTGCTCCAGATTATCTGCAGAGGATTCCCCTTGAGTCTTCAGCTGAGTATTGTTGACCACATGTGACTGCTACCCAAGGCCTTCTAAAGAACCACCTGAAAGCACAAGGGGAAAAAATGTCTGGAGCCCACAATGATCAGGAACAGTTTAAGTTCCACTAGCCAAAGTGAAAATCCCTTGTAATTCATAGGGTAATAGAGTACTCGGAATGGTACTGACTCAGCAGTAAAATAAATGTTGTCTGTGCCTGCCTTACAAAGTTTAAAAGCAATCCTTTGAATGTTCACATTTTTTCCCCTAGTAACTTGTGTTAAGAAGAATATGGGAAATTCAATATCCAAACATGTAAATGCATGCAAATGAAAAATACTACCCATAATAAAAAAATCAATAAACAGAAACAGACCAAGAAATGACAGAATTAGTAGCAAGGCCATTCAAATAGCTATTATTGTTATACTTGCTGTGCTCAAGCCAGCAGAGGAAAGCCTGACTATGATAAAAACTGGAAGATATAAAACAGATCCAAATTGAATTTTTAAAGATAAAATACACAATGTCTGATATAAAAAATACACTAATGGAATTAAGAGACCAGACACAACAGAAGACTAGTGAACTTGAAGATGAAGCAATGAAAACTAGACAAAATGAAAAATAACCAAAAATAAGCAAAGCATTAATAAGCTGTGTGAGTATTTCAGGCAGACTAAGTAGAATTGGAATTGAAAAAATGTTTAAATAATTGCTGTGTTTCCAAATCTGATAAAAACCATAAATCCATGGATCCTAGGAAGCTCAGCTAACTCCAAGAACAAGAATTGGTTGCTTTGGGGTGTAAAATATGCGTTTAAAACTTTGTGTTACTGGCATGTAATTTAAAAAACATACTGTAGCCTTGCACTCCCTACTGAGCACTTGAAATATGGCTAGTGCCAGTGAAAAGGTGAACTTTTGCTTATGGTGATGGCAGCATATCTCTATGAATTTATTAGAAAATCATATTGTTATTGCCCAAAGAAGAAACTTTGTACCCAGTCACCTCCCATTTCCAACTTTCCCCAGTCCTAGATACTAATTTATGTCTGTTTCTATAGATTTGTCTATTCTGAACATTTCATATAAATGGAATCTGGTTTCTTTCACTTAGCCTAATGTTTTCAATGTTCACCCATGTTGTACTATATATCCGTATTTCATTTTACTACTGAGTAATATCCCATTTTATGAATATAACATTTTATTTATCCATTGGCTGATGAACATTTGTTTCTACATTTTGACTATCATGAATTGATCCCTTTATCAAATGACACTCTTTATCTCCAGCAATAAATATTCCTTGCTCTGAAATGTACTTTGATATTAATATGGCCACTCCAATTTGCTTTTGATTTGTGATAGCATGGTATATCTTTTTTCCATCCTTTCACTTTTCACCAATTTGCTTCTTGAAAATGTTTTCTTAGAGGTAAAATACGGCCTTACTTTTTTATTAAAACTGATAACCTCTGCACTTTAATTGGCATGTTTAAATCATTAGTAATTACTGTGATTACTGATATAACTGGGTTTGATCTATCTTGCTATTTGTTCCATCTTCATTTGCTTTTTCTCTTTTTCTGTCTAGTTTTGGATGAGCTATTTTTTATAATTCTATTTTTTCTCCTTTGTTGGTTTTAGAAAGTAAATGGATTTTTAACCAATAATAGCATCTGTCTTTGTTCTGTTAGGAAACAACAATCTTAAGAAAAAATGAAATGGACACATTTATATAAATGCAATTTTAAAATATTTTATTATTTGTTAATATAGTGTTGTAACATTTCATAATATTGCATACTGCTCAAAAGTTGGTTTATTTAGTAGGGTAAGAATATCTTCTCTTCTTACTCCCCAGTCAGAATTTAAAGATATACTATCCTTTTAGAGCTCTATTATATTGGCTCCTAAAATGTCACATTTCATAAAACCATGTAATGAATAAAGGTTAAGAACAGTTTGATTTCACAGTTTCACAAGCAGCCAGTAGATTGCTGAATTGAGAACCGCAACAAAAATTCGCTAAGACTTTTTTATATTTATTTTTCCATAATGCTCCGTCTTAAAAGAAGAAAAAAATATAAAGGCAAAGGTAATATATGCTTCTTTTAGTCCTTTATCCAATAAATCAACCTTTAACTGCAAATAGGTTTTACAGTTACCAAATGATATGTCAGTTCCGTGCCAGCAGAATTTATTACTTTTTTGCTTTCTTGTTCTGGTGTTACCAGTAAGTTGAACAAATGACACTAAAATTTAAGAACACTATCACTTAAAACAACGTTTTGAAATAAAACATAGTAAAAAGACCACACCAGTCAGTCAAGTGCTTATAAATATAAAACAAGCATAATTGCATAGATTAAATAGGAGAAATTCAGATTCAGACAAAAATAAAACACCAAATTTAATTAAATAAATGAAAAGGACTCTTTCAAGTATTTTCTTGATATTTGCATTGATGCTACATGCATTCCTCTTTATAACACTTTTTGGCATAGTTTATCTTGGATATAAACATAACAAATCTTAGAAAAACAAGTTAAAAAAGTATTTTTTCCCCCCACAAGGGCCAGTGAAGACTAACGAAAATACATTTTGGAGCATTTTATTTTTTTTCTTTCTTTCTTTCTTTTTTCCTGGTCAGGGCTCTGCCTGATGAAATGTTTTAAATGGTATACTTGAAAAGAGTAGCTATATTTTTGTAGAATTTTAATAACAAACTATTTGTTAGTCTTGATCCAATAAACTCATCAATAAGCCAAGTCAAGCCAAGTCAAGAGCTGGTCCCAGCTGCTATATAGTGCTCTTTGCAATCAAATATAAAATTAATTACCCAAGTAATATATTCAAGGAAATAAATATAACTGTATTTAAATGCTTATAAAGTATAATTACAGTCTGTAGAGATATGTTTGTTTTACCGGCAAAATTTAAGTTCCCTTTCATAGGTCATTCTGTGTGTATGCATGAACACACACACATATATTATTTTTCCTTCTATAAGAACTATTTTGTTTGAAAAATTTGGCTTAGAAATTTATTATAGTGACTACAGGGTCCTCAAAATAAAAGGAGGCACAGCTGGTCAGTTTATGAATCATGCTGCATTATCAATTTTAATTGACTAGAAAGAGTAGAATACCCTGTCACCGCATACAGAACCATCTGCACCACAAAAATGTTTATCTGATAAATCACCATCAATTTGGTAAGCTTTAATGTAACTACCCTGTTTTTTTAATACAGATAATGCAAAAGGAAATCATTTTATACTCAACTATATACCTTCCACTATGAAAAAAGGGGCACAGATACAATCTTCTACTTAATAATAAAAAAGGGCTGGCTGATGCACTCAGCATTACGAACACCATTTAAACCTGTATTTTACACCTGTAGGTTTTAAGTGTCTTGTCAAAAGCTTAGTTTCATGATATGTAATTTACAAAGTGATATATTCTTTAAAAGTACTCCTATATACATTTTCCTCTTGGAACGTGCCTCTGATTTCCAGCAGAAACATTACAAATACTATCATAAATGAAATCTTTCTTTAAAGAATAGACCATGAATCATATCAAAATTGCCTTAGTTCTCATCTTAAAAAGAGTTGTAAACTAAGTTTTAAGTAAGTGTTCTAGGTATATAATTGGACACGTAAAGAGCCTATGTATAACTATAAATTAAAAGATTGAGTTCAACAGTAGCTGAACTGTGAGAGTAACGAACACACATATATATGTATAAATAAATATATATATAATTTTTCTATTGAAACCTTTCTTTTAAATTTTCAGTTTGAAGAGGTTTTTGCTGTTAAATCATAAAACATACATATTGACCAATCTGACATGAATGTAATCTATGATTCATAACAAGCAGCAGTATGACCCTCCGAGTATTACTAAAAGAAAAAAGTCTATCATAGATTTGAACCATATTAAAGAATCTTTAGCAATTTTCATTATCATCATCATTTAGCATCCAAATGTTAAACGTATTTAATAAAATTTAACACATAATAAAGTTATTTCTTCAGGATAATTTTGTCATTCAAGTACCTAAACTTACTATTATATAGAAAATGAAACTTTTCAATTACTGCTCTGAAAAATCAGAGAAATAATTAGTTATTATTTTAGATACGCAGCACTACTTTAGATTCATGATGACATCTCTTTCATGATGATCTTTAAAACAATGAGTGAAAAACAAACACTGTTTCAAAAATGGTAGCATATTTGGTTGAAATACAAAATATACTAATATACGTAGCACTTATATGTTAAAAACAGAAATATTTAAATGTTTTGTAATCTTTTTATGTGTTCAACATGAAGAACAGCTTCTCTCTTCACAATTGCCACATTTGAATGGATTATCAGTACAATATTTCTTCTGTTTTATAAATAAATTTTATAGGTATTCTGTTGCAATTTTTTGCAAAGTATAACCTACAGCACAGTGATATATATAATTTAAGGTAATAAATACTTTCACATTCTAATTTAGCATTTGCATTATTTCATGCTTCTGAAGCTTTTCTGTTTTTATTTCTGCTTCAAGATAGAGGTAGATTTAGTAGAGATTGGGTATGTAAGACTTACTGCCAAAATGCAATTATCAATAGGTTTACTGCTAATGTGCAGTTTCCAAGAATGCTTGAAAAAATTCAGAATCACTAAGTAATACTTCACCAAAGTTCTCCTTTTCAAGCTTAAATTACTAAATAATTGCATATTCAATTATTCACAAATAGATACAAAAATTCAAACAATAGAAGATATAAATACAGGCACAACAACAACAAAACTAAAACAACAACAAACTACAATGAAAGATTGCATCTGAATGGAAATTTTTGTTTCATTTTGCTTTCTAAAAGTGCACCAAATTCTCTTTTCTGTTCTATGTAAAAAAAGAAACATTCTTACTGACGCTGGCAACAAAGAGGAGTTACCTGAAGCTACCCTTTTTAGCCATAGATTTTTCTTCCTCCAGTATGTTAAAGTTGAAATCCATCCATTGGTGCTTCCTGCTGCTGAAATATAAACTGTTGTTGGTTTTCATCCACCTGAGGTACAATGCTGGGGTCATCTTCTTCTACACCAAAGTAATGTTCAATCAGATCAAATGCCTTCTGGTAAATTTCCTGATTTTCATGGCTTTGCAAAAACTCAATTTTATCCAGACCTATTATACAAAGCATATATATAAAAACAAATTGTTACTACAATTTCAATATATGTTTAAATCAAAATAATAAATGAACATCATCTATCACCTCACTGGCAATGGGACTGCTATTTTAATCAAATTGTTGCACATATTGATAGCCATCACTTATGGTTTATACTTCAAGAATGAGAGTACGTGGCAGTGTGATATGAAGAAGGACCACAGGCCTGGGAGTAAGATCACAGACACCACCCTGCTAGGTGTGTGATCTTGGCCAGGTAAGTTCAGTTCTTCTGTTTCTCAACTGTAAAATGGCAGTTTTAGATAAAGTAACTCCACAGGTCCTTTCTAGAGCAACTAACATAGCGCAAAAAGGGAAAGCAACAAAACAAATTAAATGAAGAAACTAAAACATGCTGAGCCAGAGAATATCAGTATGAAATAAATGTGTAAAATCTGCAAACCCATACAATAAAAAACATACAGCTACTGTATGATTTAACAGAATTACAATCTACAATTGAAACTGAAAGGCCTCATTTTGAAAGGATGACGAGAATCTATAGCAATAGATTTTACTGCTTATCAGAAAAAGCTCCACACATAAGTCTGGGTAGTGCTGAAAACATATTTCATTTAATTACAGATAAACCACTTCAATCAGATTATCACAGAATAAAAAAGCAGCAAAGAAGTCATATCTATATACGATCACAGAATAGCTCAAACCCTAGTCTAACTTGGGGTCAAAATAATGACTGTAGTAAGACAATACTCTTAAATCAATGACTAAATCTTGTATTCATGTAATGTCTTATCCAGTGATGTTATATAATTTGAAAGAAAGACAAAGTGATATCATGGGCTTTAAGAATGAAAAGTAAAAGTCTGAATCAGCCATACAATGTAAGCGGACTTAATACAGAAAAGTGAATATTTAATGCAAATAAAAGAAAATCAATTTAGATTCATGCCTTATCTAAAATAAATTCCATATGATTAAAAGTTTTAAGAACCTAATTTTTAAAACTTGGCAAATAAAAAAATTAATTTTCATCAAATCTCTGTGGAGGCAATGACTTTGTAAACTTTGAAAGAATAGAAAATTAGACTGAGTTATTTACGTCAAACATAAATGAACATGGGATGTTTTATTAAAATAAAAGAATGTACTCAATGGACGATCTGAAAAAAAAAACAGACCTAGGAAAAAGCCGTATCAAAATCAACTACTATAAAGTAAAATTCAAATTTTTACCAAAAAAAAAGTCAAATAGATAACCAAAGTATAATAAATATGCAATTTGGATGAGGAAATAGACTAACTCATGAAAAATACATACTACTATCTATAGTAAGTAAACCAAAAAAATGTACATAAAAGCAACTTGGTGTACTATTTTACATCTGCTAAGTCTGCAAAAAAAAAAAAAGTATGAGGTTGTAGAATAGATTCATATAATGCCAGTAACTCTGTCAGCAACAGGCCTTTGGAAAGCAAAATGAGAAGACATATCAAAAGCTTAAAAAGAAGTCAGTGCCTAAGACTCAGCCACTGAATTCCTGAAAACTTATCCCTGGATATTAATTCCATAAAAGAAAGAAATTTATACACAGAAGGATGCTTATTTTGGTATACATAAAGTGATAAACTGGGAACAAACTAATGGTCAACAACAGGTTATGGTTAAATTTCCATTCAAATGGCTAAAACTTCACTCAATATATAACATTATGGCCAGACACGGTGGCTCATATCTGTAATCCCAGCACTTTGGGAGGTTGAGGTGGGCAGATCACTTGAGGCCAGGAGCTCAAGACCAGTCTAGCCAACATGGAGAAACCCCATCTCTACTAAAAATACAAAAATCAGCCGGGCATGGTGGCATGCACCTGTAATCCCAGCTACTCAGGAGGCTGAGGCACATGAATTGCTTGAACCTGGGAGGCGGAGGTTTCAGTGAGCCAATATCACACCACTGCACTCCGGCCTGGGAGACGGAGTAAAACTGTGTCTCAAAAAAAAAAAAAAAATTACATATTTATATATAGTATATATATAACATTATGTGGCCATTATAATAAAAAGTATGTAGAAATTTAAAATTTCTCCAAATGTTAAAAAGTAGAACATAAAACTATACATACAATACAATTAAGTCAATGTAAAGTATTTGTGCATAAAGACAACGTAAAAAAAGGTAAATAATAAAAATAAATTGTTAGGGTAATAAAATTATGGGTGACATTTTAAAACTTAAAAAAATATATACTGCTTTTACAACAAAAAAAATGTAGGGAACTAGAAGGGGAAAGTATCTATGACAGATAGTTAAGAACTGACTATAATTGCAAATTTTTAACTGATTGCTTACCATATGCTTCTTCAATGAGAGCACAGTATGGATTAACGCCGATTCCATTCTGCTTAGATTCTTGTTCTCCAAGACGTAAAATATTTTCAAGTCCATTTAAAGCCACTTGGACTATTTTGGAGTCCATAACAGTCAAAAGATCACAAAGTGGTTTAATGCAGCCTAAGGCTACCAAATACCTTCAGATTAATTTAAAAGAGAAGAAATGGGAAAAAAAGATTTTTATTAAAAAGACTTAAGTACAAAAGTGTTACTGTTTGTAACAATAACGCAAAAATATTTTTCATAGTGAAATGTTATATAAGCAATTAAGAAAAAGTATTCTTATACAAATGTAAATATTACACATATTTAAATTCTCACATAGGAAACTTAAAATTTTCTTTACTCAACTATTCTCTGATTTAACATACTTAGCAATAAATGGTCTTGCAGAGACTATAAAATACACACACAAACTGGTACTTGGGCCTGCTTTTCATGGTGCTCATCTGAGCACTAAACGTACGTTCAAAAGGTTTCTGTTTTTTTTTAAAAAGGCAAACCCACACACACACACACACACACACACACACACACACACACAGAGGTCATAAGGGGGTAGACAGAAATGGAAAGAAAGAAAAGACATCTAAATTAAACTTGAGAAAATTTCCCATAAAAACAATCACAGCTAATGTTCTAAAACATATGCTATGTTTCAGAAGCGCAGAAGGCCTCTACGAACAAAACAGGCTCTCTTGTGAATAATTTTCATAAATAATATTCACCAAAAAATTCCATTAATTTCTGAATGCGTGTCCTTTTCTAGTTATTGGCTGGTTTTTTGTACTCTATAATGTAAATTAAGTAACTGATTTGTTCACTTGGCAAAAAATCCGTATTAAGTACAAAGGTTAAAAACATACTATGAAGGCAGGCTGTGTGCCTTCAAGTCCCAATTCCACTCCTTATTAGTTTTGTGACCTTGAACAATTACTCTGTGTCTCAGTTTCCCCATCTTAAAAATGGGAATAATAATAGTACCAACTTCAGAGAGTTGTTGTAGGAACACAATAGACATTTAATAAAAGTTTCTGTCCCTCTTTAAAAAAAAATGTATATACCTTCACTGGAGCACTCATTTGCCCTATACTGTACTGTAATTGATCAAAAATATCTGTTGAATGAATAACTGCCTCACAGTTAAGAGATTAAAGGAGATAAAATACATGAAAGTAGCTGATACATTGCTGGTGCTCAATAACTGAAATGACTTAGCACAATAACTGGCAATAGTAGGCACTCAACTAGTGGTATGGATGCAGAACTTAATCTGAGATCAAGAGGTCTTTTCCCATATATGCAGACTTAATGAAATGATTAAAGTGGTTAGAAAAATAATTATCTCAATTTGGGTACTTGATCCATACTAATAAATTAAAGGAATAATATACAGAGTAGATATAACCACAAAAATTAATTGAAAAAATACAACTATTTGCAAGTGAACAAACTTGCAGCCCTAATAAAATAAAAATAACATCAGCATTTAAAAAATACAAAATAGAACAAAGGAAGGGTCTTGATTTATTACTGCTTGTATCCATGACACAAAGTGGAAATACTGATTAAAGCAAAGAGAACAGAAAATAAAAGGCAGAGACAGATGTTACCAATATACACCAATATAAATTTGAGAGAACAAGATAATACTACAAATTAAGGCAATAAAAGACAATTTAACAATAGGTAGATTTCAAAATCATGTGATTTATAAAATAGCATTGTAATTTGACTTGTTTTATAAATTGAAAAATAAATCAAATATGCATTAGAAAATATTTTCTAAGAAGTCTAGTTTCATGGAGGGATCCTCCAAATAAGACGATTCTGCAGAAGTAAAGCTTTTAATAGAGGTGTAAGTGCAACTTTGCTATGTCAGATAAAAAAGAGTGAAAGTACATGAAAAAAAGAGATTCAGGAATCAATACTGACAATAAAAATTATGATGATTACAAATAATAATAATAGCTATTCTTAGTTATTATCTATTAGTTATTAATAATATGTTTAGGAACTGTGCTGACACTTCAAAGACATAAATTTCACTTAACTATCAAGATACAGTCCCTCAGTTTCATCGGAGATTGGTTCCAGGACACCCTTCCTCTCAATACCAAAATCCACAGATGCTCAATTCCTTTATATAAAATGGCATAGTATTTGCATACAACCTATGCATATCTTTCCATGTATTTGAAATCATCTTTAGATTACTTATAATACCTAAAACAATGTAATTGCTATGTTACTAACTGTTGTATTGTGTTTTTAAATTTGTATTATTTTGTATTGTTGTATTGACATTTTTTACTGTTTTTTTCTTTTTTAATGTTTTTTACCTGCAGGTGGTTGAATCCACAGATGCAAAACCCAAGTATATGGAAGGCCGACTATACTACCATTACTATTTGTTACTGGAACTCATTTTTTAAAATGAAGAAACTAGATTAGAGGGGTTAAATGACTTTGTCAAGACCACACAACTTTTACTGAAGGAGCAGGATTTGAAATCAGGCTGACTTAAAAGCCCATGCACCTATTATTTATATTGTCAGCAGAATAAATAAATTTAAAAAGCTTAGACTCAAAAAGCTAATATTTAAAAACGGTAACTAGTATAGAAAAATAAAAGTAAGATACTATCCATAGGCAAGGCTAACAGTCAATGAGGAGCAGAACGTCACCATATAAACAGTGTCTATTTCACTTTTTATTTAAAGAGGATATTCAAATTTGTTAGCCATTTCTATATAATAAAGCTATATTTTTGTGATTAAAAAATATTTAATGCCCATGACAGTGTACTCTACAAATTAACACAGATCGTTCCCATATGGATTTTTAATCTCTGATTTTTCATAAGCAGCCTATCAAGGAGAATGATGTTATATTTTAAATGAAAAAAACAAAAAAACCATTGTGAATGAGTAACTGATATAATACATGCCGTCATTTCATATTATCAAACTGACTTAGAAATAATACTTTAGTTGCATCAGTAAATAAAAATACGTTTTATTTCAACTTTTGTCTCATTTACATTTAAAAAACAATTAAAAAGTGTATATCATACCTTATTTGCTCTGGAGTACCTCCTGATGTCGCATTAGTTATAGCCCAAGCTGCTTCTTTTCTGGTACGAAACTCTGCTTTCTGAAGAATCTCAATCAAAACAGGAAAAATATTTGCATCTATAACAGCCTGAGAGGGGGAAAAATATATAATCAGTACAAACACTGTTTCTAAAATATTACCAGTAAAAAAAATATTGAAACTCAATGGCTTCAAAATGTCAAGGTTTTTGGAAATACTTTTCCAAGAATTTTTAATTTCTATTCTATCAGCAAACTTTCAAATATTTTTCTTTTTACATAGGAAATTGGCTTTTTAAAGACTGGAGAATAACAAAATATAAATTTTAGAGATGATAAAGCACAAGGCATGTGACTGATCAAAATGGATAAGTAATCACTGACACAAAAAGCTTGATAGGACCCTAATAAATCATTAAAAGCTTTGAGAGGAAGATTATTGCATAATTTATTTAAAACTAATGCAAAAAATATATATATTTCTAAAGACAAACCATTATGTGTCAGGCACTGTGCTAAACACATACACACACACACACTCTCTTGCTATATTTCACTAGAATACTACAAGTAAATGTTATTATTTTAGAGGAGGAAAGGCCATGTTCTTTAAAATACTTTTTCGGTATCTTTTTAAAAAGGAATCTTTTTAAGTAACTCAATAAAAAACATTTAAAAAGTGTTAACTTTTGTCCAAACTGGTTTCTTAGACCTTGCTGTTCTACTCTCAGATCTGGAGGGTAGTTACCTGAATCTGAGCTCTATTTCCAGCAGTGATGTTAGAAACAGTCCAGCAGGCTTCTTTTCTAATTGACTCCTTTGGGCTACTCAATAAATGTAAGAGACAGGGTAATGCAGAACAATTCAAAATTACCTAAAACAAGTTAGAAATGGAAACAAAAAGTTTTATAGTAAATAACCTATGTGAAAAGCTACTAATGAATTATTTAGATGTACAAAAAACATTCTAGAAAATGAAATTAAGAAAGGAGAAATTCCTTCCAAAGGAAAATTTGCTGTCTTCTACACTACTGCGATTGATAAACCTAGTCTCATGCCACTATAAGGAAGTGTCCTGTTCTCAGCCCAATAAAATGAAAATCAGAGGTGTATCCTTCATATTTACAAATGTTCTAAGAGTTCAACTGATAAAACTGAAAAAAGATTTGGTGACTTGAGGTCAGGATCCAACCTCTAGTTTTGCCAAATGAATTGTTGAAAAATATATATATATCATACAGTCTGAAAAAAATCTAATTCTACAATAATTAAAAACATTAGCATGTAGAATCAGCTTCATAAAAATTTTTACTATCTTACTCTTCTTCCGTAAACAAGTATATTCTGCATTGTCCCTTTACATTCTTTATTCCATTGCAAGATTAATTATGTTCCTATATTCAAAATACTCCAATGATTTACATTAAATTCATCTGGTGAAGAAGTATGGAGCAGTGCACCAGAAATCCAACGGAAAATTACAGTGTATGTCTAGAATGGCATTTTCATTTAAAGAGCTATATTAAATGAATAACTGTCAATTACTAAAGAGCAACTGTTTAATAACTTTGATTAGTATCCAAATAGGCCTTTAAAAGGATAAAACTGAAAGAAAATATGTAAGTTAGAATAAAAAATATACTGTAAAGCAGTAAACAAAGGAGAATCCAACGTGTTAAATAATTTAAGTTTCTCTATCTTCAAGAAAGATTGTGCTGGGCATAGCGACTCATGCCTGTAAGTCATACTTCGAGAGGCCAAAGTAGGAGGATCGCTTGAGCTCAGGAATTTGAGACCAACCTGGGCAACATAGCAAGACCCTGTCCCTAAAAAAATAAAAAAATTAGCCAGGTGTGGTGGTGCACACCTGTGGTCCCAACTACTTGGAAGGCTGAGGCGGGAGGACTGCTTGAGCTGGGAGGACTGCTTAAGCCAGGGAGGCAAAGGCTGCAGTGAGTCATGATCACACCACTGCACCCCAGCCTAGGGGAAAGAGCAATATCTTGTCTCTAACTAACTAACTGACTAAATAAATAAATAAATAATAAGATTGTAACCCAAATCTGGCTGAAGTCGATCTTGACAGCATATCTTCTTTGACATCTCACCATCCTCCAAGATACAGACACAGACACACACACAATTATGGTGATGTTAAAATCTTGATTAATATGTAATCAAGTTGTATGAAACATAAATTTTTTTAAGTCCCTTATGTTAACAACTTACGATACTCAAGTTTGAACTCACCTGTGTTTGAATATCATCACCAGTCACAATATTACCAACTGCCCTTAATGCAGGTGATACAACTTTATAATCATTGTGCCTAAAAATAATAAAAACATGAACCTAAATACTAGTAAGAATTTAAAATGTACACAAAAGTTACAAAAATACTACAAACTCCTGCAGGGTGTTCAGCCAAAGATCCCATTGAAGTTTTACTAATTATTCTGATAACCTTTATAACAAAGGATCTAATCCAGGATCATTCACTACAGCCAGTTTTCATGTCTCTCCAGTCTCTCCAGAATAGTTTCTCAGTCTTCCCTTGATTTTCATGATTTTGCCATTTTTGAAGATCATAAGCCCGTTAATTGGGTTTATCCAATGTTTTTCATGATTAAGACCCAGGTTATATACTTTGGCTGGGGGATATCATAAGTGCTATAATTTTTTCATTATATCCCAGTCTTTTTTTTCCCATTATATTGGTACTGAATTCTGGTCACTAATTACGATGATGTCTGCCAGACTTTTCCACTTTACCATTATCGTTTTCCCGTTTATAATTAATATAATTAATATTTTGCAACAAAATACTTTGAGATAATGCAAAATTCCACTCCTTAACCTACTTTTACCACTAAGTTTTAGCATCTTTTGATGCTTATTCTGAAGTATTGGTAATTATTAGTATTATTACCAGTGATGTATTTCTAATACTATCATTCCAACTACATGCTTTAATGTGGACTTAAGGGTTTCGTATTTTATTCAATAAAATATACATTAATATAATTTATTCCAAAGCACAAATTGTCCCAGGTTTGGATAGTGAGAACCCCTTCAAATAGGCTTCTGTGTCCTTTTGACATCTGTCCATTATTTGAGCACTCATTACTTCCTGCATTCATCTTACATTTTCTCAGTCCCACCCCTGAAACCAGTCATTTCTCCAAGAATCATGGTTCCTTTTAATGGAGAGTAGTGTTTAGAAACTTCAATCTGAACTTCAGTTTCCTTAACTTATTAATGTAGAAGTGTTACTGCTCCCAGGCCCTTCAAGAGGATGCACACACACACTTACACACATATATATTTACTTCTATACCTAGCTATGTTAAGAGCCATGAGTTCACACTGATATTTTTAGTTCTAATCTAAAATCATTAAATTATTCAGGCTTTCTCCTCTTCCATATTTTTATCTCTATTCTCTGATAACAAGAAATAGCTTCTATTTTTCTAACCTCCCTATACCAGCCAATCTTCTACCTCAGCTAGACTGGTATCCCACGATGTGCTGGCTCCAAGCCCTGCTCCAGTCTGCTTATCTGCTCACCCCAGTGGGTGTCATTATCAAGTTTAGGCCCTGATCCCCCCTGCTGAACCTGCATGCCCACCCTCCTCTAATGCTGTCCTCATGCTGGGACCCCAACTCCTTATCAGACCTCGCTTTGTGCCATCTACCTTGTTTGGCCCTACAACGGCTTCTTGACAAAAGAAGAAAGGAAGGAAGATAATACATTTTTTAAAGAAGGTAAGAAGATGAAGTTATGAAGTTACAACATCTTTTTAAAACAAGTTTTCTTAAATGTTTTTAACTTCTTTGTATAGAAAAGCTGTTCTTTTTAAGGAAAATAGCTATAACAGCCCAGCAAAGAGAAACATGTTATCTTTAATAGAGGTGAAATACTAAATGGCTTTCACTACATGGATTTTTACTCAAATTAATTATTATAATGAAAAATAAACTAGATTATTCGTTCTGTGAGAGGAGAAACTATGTTCTATACTTCATTAACAATGTCTCACACAACACCTTAGCAGATAACAGGCATTCCATAAACACTTATTAAGTTTCTCTAACTCATAAAGAGATCACATTAAACTAAGGAAATTCATTTACAAAATAATTAGTCCCAACTACAAGACATAAGTTCCAAATTTTAGGGTCAACTTTCTAGGATTGTGTCTATTCTGTTAAGTGTAGGGTCAGTAGCTTTTTAATTTTCCCTGAAGACAGTGACTCTTGAGATATTTACAAAGCTATTACTTGAATCACTCATTTTAAATCCCAATCATACAATTACTAAGCATAAATTATTTATAGTTACATCAAAAGTTCCACCAATCTTCGACAGACTCCAGAATCAATGACTGCTTGTATTTTATCATTGGGTCCATCAGAGAGATAAGAAAGGGCCCAACACACGTCTGCTAACACATCTGGGTCACTGCTAAACAACAGTCGTGACAGGACATTTAAGCAAGGTGAAACCTGTAAGGGAAGAAAGAGCATATCTAAATTTTTTCCTATTTAAAGCCAAGTTTCCTCAGAAAAATATAGAAATTAATTTTAAAACAAAAATTTAATGTTATAAAAATTTATATTGTTTTAAAATTATAATCAGATATATGAATATGAAGCTGATTATGACTACTGTTAATCTTATATTGAATAAGATATGTAGTAAAATTTGTTTTAAAAAATAGTAAAATATTTGGGATCTCTTGTCTGTGTCTAAATCATACACACTCCCACAAAAAAAGCACACCAAAACTGAGAAGTTCAAAAGTTCTACTTAAGTGTTTGCTATGAGGATCACAGAATATAATCTAACTTTAATAAGCCTCACTTGACTCATTACATGTACTTATCTGGAAATAAATCTACTAATCATTTGAGGAACTAAGGTACAGAAAGTATAAAAATAAATATATTTGTGAAGGGTACTCAAGTGGAAGTCATTATTAATAAACTATTACACTGATAAGAATGCATGTAGCACCTAAGAACAGTGCCTGACATAGAGTAGGCACTCAAATGTTGGCTTTTTTTTTAACTCCCATGATCACTATTGATGCTATGTTCCTTAAAGTTGTTTTTTTTTTTAAAATAAGCAACCTAACATATCCCTTAGTCTTTCTCCTCAGTTAAGAACTATGTTAAGCTGGGCACGGTGGCTCACGCCTGTAATCTTAGCACTTTGGGAGGCCGAGGCGGGTAGATAACCTGAGGTCAGGAGTTCAAGACCAGCCTGACCAACATGGACAAACCCCATCTCTACTAAAAAAAAAAAAAAAAAAAAGAACTATGTTATATGTTATATACCCCACAAATAAAAAGTGAAGACATTTTTCTTAAATGTTCTAATATTTTAGATGACTTTTCCCTTTAACCCTGTTTTAAAGATTATCAGTATATAAACCATTCTCTTCTGAAAGCAGTTACCATCTCTGCTGGGCCTGTCCTCTAAAGATGATTTTCAAGATTATCAGTATATAAACTATCGTCTTCTGAAAGGAGTTACTGTCTCTGCTGGGCCTGTCCTCTAAAGATGACCCTAGGACTCATGTACACAAATCAGTTAGCTTACAAAATAGGTATGTCCATCTGTTAGTGGGCAAATAAAATCAGCACAACTGGATCCTTCTCCAACAATCAAGCTTCCACCCTTGCCAACCTCCTCTTCCTTGAACAGAGAAACCGGGGTTTGTTTTTCTTTTTTTGTTTTGTTTTGTTTTTGAGACAAGGTCTTACTCTGTTGCCCAAGCTGGAGTACAACCTCCACTTCCTGGGCTCAAGCAATCCTCTAGCCTCAGCCTCCTGAGTAGCTGGGATTATAGGCGTGAGCCACCATACGCAGCTAATTTTTGTACAGACAGGGTTTCACCATGTTGCCTAGGCTGGTCTAGAACTCCTGTGCTCAAAACAATCCGCCCACCTCAACCTCCCAAAGTGCTGGGATAACAGGGCATGAGCCACCATGCCCAGCCAAATATCAGGTTTTTAAAGCAAATATAAAGTATGTTAAAAAAAAATTAATATAGCTGACATATGTCTTTTCACTGAGTTAAAAAACAATGAACTAATACATATTTCCAGTATTAAGTGAGCAAAGTAAAAACATTTCTGCCCCAGTATCTTCTCAGGAAAAAAGAAAAGAAACAGAAATACAAATTCTAACTCTGAAAAAGCCAGTAGACATTAATAATCCTGTCCGCAATATATAAAGACAAAAGTGAATAAAGAAACAGTAACCGACTCAGGAGAGAAAAGTGGAACCTTAATGCCAGGAGAGGGAACTACCAGTAAGAAGAAAGCTAATTTATCTCCCCACCATCATCTCCAAATGCTTAGAAATCAGAGGCATCAGGTATCACAGATAGTAGGGGAAACGGTGCTAAAATAGAGGAAGAGATTAAAAATCCAATAAGCAGCAGGTTAGACTTTGGGTCCCTACTACAAAGGTAAGTGACTAGCATTCTCAATGCTACCAAAGACTGGAAGTTTATTTGAAGGAGAAACTGGACAACAAAATGTGAATCACAGAAACTGAACTTTAGGATATAAAGCACAGTGGAGGTTGAAATGAAGCACTAGACTAGAAAGTAGGAGATAAGTGTAAGTCTGCATACTGACTACTGAAAACCTCTAGCTCTCTTCCAATACTCAGTTCCCAGATGTTTATTATTTGTATTTTTTATTTTTGAGACAGGGTCTTGCTCTGTTGCCCAAGCTGGAGGTACAATGGCATGATCACAGCTCACTGTTGTCTCAACCTCCCAGGCTCAAGCAATCCTTCCATCTCAGCCTCCTGAGTAGCTGGGAGGACAGGCATGTGCTACCACACTCGGCTAAATTTTTTTATTTTCTGTAGAGACAGGTTCTTACAATGTTGCCCAGGCTGGCCTCGAACCCCTGGGCTCAAACGATCCCCTCACCTCAGCCTCCCAAAGTGCTGAGATTACAGCATGAGACACAGTGCCCAGCTGCAGGATATTTAGTAGCCAGGTATGTTACCTACTCTATACCTCAACCCAATCTACCCATCTTCCAGCAAGAGAATGGAAACTCTGTCTCTGAAAAAACTGAATGGTCTCTGAAGAGAGACTGAAATTTAGTGTTCCTCAAAAAAATATGGTTTTGCTGCCCAATTATCCTACAATGAAGTCCATTTATACACTCATCTTCCAATCAGCTTTTTAGTTTCTTCCGAAATTTGTTCAAAGATCACCAGATAAATGAAGATAGCCTCCAACATTAAAGTGATTAAGACAAACCACAAACAAAACAAAAAAAGCACAAAGAAACAGAGACACCAAAAAACAAACAAACAAAAAACACTATAAATCCTTAGATATGACAATTTGCTGAGTCCATAAAAGAATAGAATTCTACCTAAAGATGAGCAACCAGAGAGTAAGAAAACTAATTATTGAAAAGATAAAATATGATCGTAGAAATGAAAATTTCCAGCCTGGCGTGGTGGCTCACGCCTGTAAATCCCAGCACTTTGGGAGGCTGAGATGCGCAGATCACCTGAGGTCAGGAGCTCAAGACCAGCCTGGCCAACATGGTGAAACTCTGTCTCTACTAAAAATATAAAAATTAGCCAGGCATGGTGGCAGGTGTCTGTAATCCCAGCTACTTGGGAGGCTGAGGCAGGAGAATCGCTTGAACCCGGGAGGCAGAGGTTGCAGTGAGCTAAGATCGCCCCACTGCACTCTAGCATGGGTGACAAGCGAAACTCCATCTCAAAAAAAAAGGAAGAAAAAAAAGAAAACTTCAAAAAAAGTGAATGATTAAAAAACAAATCTCTCACATAAAATTACAGAAAATGTACTTAACAAACAAGCCTTAAGCCCCAAAATGTGATATTATTTCATAAGTTTGGAATACATAAGTAAACAACAGACAAAGTTTCCCTTAGGAGTTCACATTTTAGTGGAAGATTTTTAAAAATTAAAATACATATATAAGGGTCAGGCGTGGTGGCTCACACTTATAATGCCAGCACTTTGGGAGGCTAAGGCAGGCAGATTGCCTGAGGTCAGGAGTTCGAGACCAGCCTGACCAACATGGTGAAACCCCGTCTCTACTAAAAATACAAAAATTAGCTGGGCGAGGTAGCGTGTGCCTGTAATCCCAGCTACTCTCAAGGCTGAGGCAGGAGAACAGCTTGAACCTGGGAGGCGGAAGTTACAGTGAGCCAAGATAGCGCCACTGCACTCCAGCCTGGACGACAGAGCAAGACTCCATCTCAAAAAATAAATAAATAAATAAATAATAAAATTAAAATACATAAACAGAAAAACACATATATTATGTTAAAAGGTGATCTGAAGAAAATAGAGTAAAGACGAAGAAGGTCAGGTATACTCATGGGCTGACAGCAGTTGTTACAGTAGGTAGACACGGACTTAAGCGGGGCATGAGAGGGCTGCTCCCCCACCCACTAGGAATGTCAGGTGATGGTTTGGCAATTATCACATTGCATCTTTAAAAGTGATAAACTTGGCAGCCGGTGCCAGGAAGAGGCCATTTCCTGATGATCCTCACCTGCTGCACTAAAGTGTTAACTGAATGCAGGCACCAGGGAGATGCAACTTCTCAGGCATGTGCATTAAGAGACAAAATGGCAGAGAATAACTTTCCGGGGGTGGGGGGGCACACTATTGGAAAAGGGAAGAAAGCCTCAGATGGGCATGCATACAACTTCCTAAACACACTGCTCATGCTCACCTCCCAAGGGTAAGGAGGGCACTGGGCATGGAGGCAGCACACCCTTAAGGGAAGAATCATGGGAAAGGGGCCAGTCTATAGTCCTAGGATCAAGGTTAATTTAAACACGGCACTTGACCTCAGTGCCTGCTTGGGTCCCTTCCAAGAGTACTTTCCTTTCTTTCCTGTTCTAAAGCCTTTTAAATAAACTTCCACTCCTGCTCTGAAACTTGTCTTGGTCCCTTTTACTACCTAATGCTCTCAGTTGAATTATTTCTTCTGAGGAAGCAAGAATTGAGGTTGCTGCAGACCCATAGGGATTTGCCGCCAGTAACTTGGATACCTTCCACTGGCACCACAGTGACAGATTACATTATTAAAAATAGTTGTAACAGTAGAGCTCATAAAAAATGTGACTTCTAAGCAAACAAAGATGAGGGAATCAGTCAAGTAGTTACCTACAAGGAGACTGTTGTAAGACAGTGGTTGTCAAAGGGTGGTCCATGGACCCCTGGGGGATTCCTAAAACCCTTTTGGGGGTATATGTGATGTCAAAACTATTTTCATAATAATACTAAGACATCATTCGTCTTTTTCATTTTGTTGACATTTGCACTAAAGGTACAAAAACACTGGCAGGTAAAACTATTGGCATGTCAGCACAAATCGCAGCAGTAGTATCAAAATGTACTGCAGATCTTTGTATTCTTCACCTCCAGCTAAAAGGGCAGTGGATGGGGAAGAGCCAGTTTTATTTAAGAGTTAATGTGAACAGACAATAAAAATTACTACTTTTATTAAATCTCAACTCTTGAGTTTATGTCTTTTGAATATTTTATGAAATGAAATGAAAAGTAAAATGAGAAGGCATACTAGTTCATGATTTACCTTTGTGAATTACAAATGTATTATTTTTTATCCCCAGAAACTTTATCACTAGATCTTTACCAAAGTTTAAACTTCTCTTAGTGCTAGATACTAAATTTAGATACTAAATTCAAAAGAAGTAGAATGGTAATCCAAAAATTTACCCCCTTTCTGCCTTCCTAACAGCATCTTAAACAATAAAACTAAACTGGGAATTAATTAATCATCTGTATTTCTAGAGAACCTAAAGGAATTATTTAATCTTTTGGGGACTTATTTTCCTATAAATGAGAGAACTAGACTAGAAGATTTCTAAAGTCAATTCCTTCATACATGTGGTTGCAGTGACTGCCTCTGGGCACAGGAATTTAAGGTGTGTTAGGAAAAGTACAAGGGACACTTCCTTTGTATTGTAAAGCTTTTGAATATTGTATATGTGCAAACATTGTATGGTCAATAAAGAAAATAATTACTAAGCAAAAAGCAGAGTTCCTTAAACATCAAAAAGCTATTATATAGAAACTTAGGTTTATGGAAACAGATTTTTTAATTTGTGTATTTTACTCATACCTTACTAAAGTTTGGAGGAGGGTTTTTGCCTCTACATAAATTTGAGAGGGCCCACACAGCATTTCTTGTTGTTGTGAGTCTGTTTGAATTTGTTAATAACCTGCCAAGAAAAAGGAAAAAAAGGAATTATCACCTTACATTCATTTTTCCTCTTCAGCTATCGTAACATAAAATTTCTCTCCAATATATTTTATAAGATATTCAAACTAGTAAAAAAGGAAAAAAGAATCTAAAATTCATTATGTTTTCAGAAGCAAAATAAGCATATTACAGTTCTATTTTCTAAAGTTTGAATCTACAATCTGAATTCTTAAAAGAATTCTTAAGAGGATGTCATGGGAAATTTACTTATTTCTATATATATTAAGGAAAGAATACTAGATTAATTTCTCTTTTTTTTTTTTTTTTTTTTGAGACAGAGTCTTACTCTGTCACCCACACTGGAGTGCAGTGGCACGATCTCAGCCCACTGCAACCTCTGCCCCCTGGGTTCAAGCGATTCTCCTGCTGCAGCCTCCTGAGTAGCTGGGATTACAGGCGCCTGCCACTGCGCCTGGCTAATTTTTGTATTTTTAGTAGAGATGAGGTTTCACCACCTTGGCCAGGCTGGTCTTGAACTCCTAACCTCGTGATCCACCCACCTCAGCCTCCTAAAGTGCTGGGATTACAGGCGTGAACCACCATGCCCGGCCAGATTAATTTTTTTAATCATGAAAATAATATATGAATTCAGAAAGCAAGGAATATAGTTTCAAATTATATAAAGATTACCTACTGACAAGGGAAGTTCTTTTGTTGTGTTTTTAACAGAGTATGTCCTTAGTATTTTTTTACCTGGTTTGCAATGAACCTTGGTATCTACTAAGAAACTGAGTATCTAAAATGAGAATTTTTCTTCTCAGCTCCTAAGGAGTTACTACTTACAGGTTTGTTTTTTTTTCAAAGCATAACTTTATGTTTTAGTTATTTATATTTAAATAGGAGATCCCCTAAAATAGTAGTACTTGAAACTTTTAGAATTATGGACCCCCTTGAGACCATAATGGATCCTTACCTCAGAAAAAAAGCACATACATCAAAATTTGGCATGCAATTTCAGGATTTTGTTAACCTCCTAAGGACCTCCACAAACCTGCTAGAAGTACAAAGAACCTAGGTTAAAAAAAATCCCCGTTTTAGAGTGACATATGCAAATATGGTGCAGAACAGCTGCTTGTTCCTGGGGGAACACCAAGAAACTTGCAAACACTGTCAGAATCAAGTTGATTAGAACTCTGAAGATAGTCAAAAGTTTATGGCAACTAAGATAACTTTTAACCAGGAAAGGGCTGAAATCTGGTAGGAAAGGTTTCCAGCATTTTAACCTACTCTTACCCAACCCCCTCCCCAGCCTGGCAGCAACCTTTAAGACAGAAGCCTGAGTTCTCACTGTGGGTTCCTGGTTCTGAAAGGAGTAGAGCAGAACTTGTTTCCAAGGAATTGTGTTTGTCTGTTCTGACCTATTTGGAGGCTCCCTGAAAAACTGATGCAAAGGGCTTGCCTTTGTTTTGCATAACTGGGAATTCTCTCAGGGTGGAAAAGTAGCTTTGCAAGCAAGGAATGGTCCTCAAAAACATTAAAAGGCAAATGAATGAGATGTGACACCAGAGCAAAAGATACAGTTGAGGCAAACAAGGGACACATTGAAAACCTGTCTGGAAAGGTGGGGAGTAAGATACTTGGGCTATGAGGGATGTGAAAAGCTCCCACATGTATAAAACAATCTGAAGGCCCATGCACATGTCCAGGGCAGAGTCTACAATCAGAAAAAACATGAAGAGACCTATGCTTTCACTTCTAGTTTTTCTTTAGACTTAGCACCAGCAGGGAGTAAAGTAGTGCTAAGTCACAGCTGTAATCAGCCTGACTAAGCATTGAAGAGGTGGCTCAATGCAGGGCCAATCTTTAAAAACCTGGAGACTTTTTTTGTTTATTTTTGGCTTCAGATATTTAAAGCACTCTCTGCTGTCAAACAATTAGCTACCCACTGAGTTAAGGGAAAAGAGATTTCAGAGACCACGCATGACAAGGAATACAGGCTTTATAAAATTAATTTTAAAAGTCCCCAAATAAATAACTACAACAAGGAGCAACACGAAAACCTGGAAAGACAGGAGAATCTGATTTCCATAGTTCCACAGTTACAATAATCAATCCAGTTTTTCAACAAGAAATTATAAGGCATGCAAAGAAATTTTAAAAGTGTAGTCCATTAACAGTGAAATATATAAATTAAAAGAAATTTTCCCTGAGAAATCACAGGCATTGGATTTACTATGCAAAGATTTTAAATTCATTGTCTGATACACTCAAAACAGCTAAAGGACCTATGCACAAAAAAACTAAAGAAAACTATAAAAACAATGTCTCAACAAATACAGAATCATCACTATGGAAACAGACATTATAAAAAGGAACTAAATAGGAATTATGAAGCTGTAAGTATAAAACTGAAATTAAAAATTCACTAGAGGGGTATGACAGCAGATTGAGCAGGGAGAAGAAAGAATCCACAACCCTAAGATAGGTTAACTGAAATTATTCAAACCGAGGAGCAGAAAGAAAAAGAATGACAAGAAATGAACACAATCTAAGAAAGCTGCAAAATACCATCAAGTATACCAATATATGCATAATGGAAATCCAAGAAGAAAAGGAGTGAAAAGAATATGTGAAGAAATAATTATTGAAAACTTTTCAAACTTTATAAAAGAAATGAATCTACACATCCAAGAAGCAAAATAAACTCTAAGGATAAACTCAAAGAGATACACATGAAGACACACGTAATCAAAAGACAAAGACAGAATCTTGAAAACAAAAAGAGAGAAGTGACCCATAGCATACAAAGATTCCACATAAAGACCAATAGCTGATTTCTCATCAAAAACCATGAAGGACAGAGGCAATGGGATGACATATTCAAAGTGCTGAAAGAAACTCTCAACCAAGACTTGAATATCTGGCAAAACAATCCTTCCAAACAGAAGGAGAAAGTGAGATTCCTACATGAGCAAAAGCTGAGGAAAGGCATCACTAGCAGACTGGCTTTACAAGAAGAGCTAAAGGGAATCCTTCATGCTGAAATGAAAGGGCAATAAACAATACCTCAAAACCATACAAAGAAATAAAGAATACTGCTAAAGATAGCTACATAGGTAACTCTAAGAGCTAGTATTACAGAATTTTTGGTTTGTAAATCCTCTTTTTTTCCCTACATGACTTAAAAGTAAAATGCAGGGGCCGGGCACGGTGGCTCACGCCTGTAATCCCAGCACTTTGGGAGGCCGAGGCAGGCAGATCACGAGGTCAGGAGATCGAGACCATCCTGGCTAACACGGTGAAACCCCATCTCCACTAAAAATACAAAAAATTAGCCAGGCATGGTG